CAGTCTGTCAGAACTACACCTCCCACAATCCATGCAGTCCCACACCCTGTGTGCTTTCCTGTTGGGTAGACTTAACACTGTCTGTACAAAGTTCTACAGTAAGACTCCCCTATGGAAGCTGTGCCTGCCTGAAAGTCTTCTCTGCTGCACAATTTTCTGCCAGAGCTGCGGACTGGGTGGGTTACATAAATAGACACGTTGTGACAGTCCTTTATTTATAATAAAAAAGTTCTTTGTAAAATAAGAAAATGTTCCCACAGTGTAAATCAACTGTCAATTACTGGTAGTACCCATGAAGTCAGGTTCCATTGAACAAAGTGAAACTAAATCAGAGGGGAAACCATCCTAGCTAGCAATGTTTATAGCAGGCCTCTTGTGATGCCCACCTTTAGGCGTAGCTTTTAGATTTAGATTTTTAAAATGGAATGCAGGTCCAGCAGAAATGTTTAATCAATCAAGTGTGAAAAAAATCCACTCAAACAATACTTTTAAAATGGTCATAAAGTTGAAAAGGGTTTTTCCTTAAAGCACTCTTTTTAACAAAGAAACTCTAAACAAAGAGCCAGTTTACTGCTCTTCAAAATGTAAGGGGGTCGGACTGTGGCCAGAAGGAGTAGAAAATGTCCTGGTGTCAGTGGGAGTAAACATTGTCCCCTCCTTGGTATTAGGGGGAGGTATAGTGTCCCATCATTGATGTCAGTTGGATAAATAGTACCTCATCATTGGTGTCCATGGAAGGAATAGCACCCAATCATTGGAGTCCATGGAAGGAATAGTGCCCCATCATTGGTCTCAGTGGTAGAAATAGTGCCCCATCATTGGTGTGCATGGAAGGAATAGTGCCCCACCATTGGTGTCAGTGGAAGGAATAGTGTCCCATCATTGGTGTCAGTTGGATAAATAGTACCTCCTCATTGATGTCCATGGAAAAAATAGTGCCCCATCATTGGTGTCCATGGAAGGAATAGTGCCCCATCGTTGGTGTCAGTGGAAGGAATAGTGCCTCATCATTGGTGTCAGTGGGAGGAATAGTATCCCATCATTAGTGTCAGTGGGAGGAATAGTGCCCCATCATTGGTGTCAGTAGGAGGAATAGTGCCCCATCATTGGTGTCAGTGGGAGGGATAGTACCCCATCATGGTGTCAGTGGGAGGAATAGTGCCCCATCATTGGTGTCAGTGGGAGGAATGGTGTCCCCATCGTTGGTATCAGTGGGAGGAATAGTATCCCCATCATTGGTGTCAGTGGGAGGATTATAGTATCCCATCATTGGTGTCAGTGGGAGGATTAGTAGTACCCATCATTAGTGTCAGTGGAAGGAATAGTGCCCCATCATTGCTGTCCATGGAAGGAATAGTGCCCCATCATTGGTGTCAGTGGAAGGAATAGTGACCCATCATTGGTGTCAGTGGGAGGAATAGTATCCCATCATTTGTGTCAGTGGGAGGAATAGTGCCCCAATCATTGGTGTCAGTGGCAGGAATAGTACCTCATCATTGGTGTCAGTGGGAGGAATAGTGCCCCATCATTGGTGTCAGTGGGAGGAATATTATCCTATCATTGATGTCAGTGGGAGGAGTAGTGCCCCATCGTTGGTGTCAGTGGAAGGAATAGTATCCCATCATTGATGTCAGTGAGAGGAATAGTGCCCCATCATAGGTGTCAGTGGGAGGAATAGTACCCCATCATTGGTGTTAGTGGGAGGAATAGTATCCCATCATTGGTGGCAGTGGGAGGAATAGTACCTCATCATTGGTGTCAGTGGAAGGAATAGTGCCCCATCGTTGGTGTAAGTGGGAGGAATAGTGCCTCATCATTGGTGTCAGTGGGAGGAATAGTGCTCCACTGTCAGAATCAGTGGCAGGAAATACATCCCACTGTTGCTGACAGTGGGGGGAATAATGCCCCAAGGGCTGGATAAAATCAAGCAAAAGGTCACAGTTTGGAGACCACTGCATTACAGTAAAAGACCTTTCAGTAGCTGTTCCCACCCCCACCCCTTAAATACTTACCTGAGTCTTGTATATATGCAATGCAGTGCTGTGCCTGTCTGCAGCTCTCCCCCCCCCCCCCCCCCCCCCCCCTTCTATCACAGGCTTGGCAGAGAGCAGTGAGAACCATTGCCTTCTGCTGCTGTCAATCAAATCCTGTGAGGAGAGAGTGGGCAGTGAGGCATAGCCCTATCACCAGTGACTGTTTGCAAGCAGCAGAAACACTACTGCTACACCTACTGCTAGTGGAAGTCAGTCTGTTGATGTCTGAAGCTCTGCAGATACTCAATTCATAGCAAGGAAGCAATGTATTGCTTGTTCAGGCAGTAGGGAAGTGACCACATAGGATAATGACATCTGAATTTAGTGACTTTGTTGTCCTCAGTGACACCCAGTGTACAGGAGAAGAGAAGTGGTACTGTCCAATGGCTATATACACAGAATACGTACATATACTGACAATTACAGCTAGTATAGAGGACAAGAGAAGTGCTTCTATGAAATGTTCATACCAGGGGCGGACTGACCATTTGGAAACTCGGGCACTGCCCGAGGGCCCGGGGTCAGTAGGGGGTCCCATGAGATGCCCCTGGTACCTTTTTCATTGGCTTTTTTTAGTTTGTGCAAGGACACAGGGGCCCCATGATCCCCTATTGCCTGGGGGCCCCATGAGTTGTCAGTCTGCCCCTGGTTCATACATACCTAATAATGAAGTTATCATCAAATACCGCCAACAGAAAGCTCTATATACTGCTCCACCATTGGTGGCCTCAACTGTCAATTACCAGGTCCCAGACGGTGATTCCCCACAGGCACCTGGCGACCACTGAATATCACTGACAGGGGAGAGACCTGTATGTAAACAATACAGATCTCTCCCCTGTCAGCTCCTGCACATTTCTTTGTATGGCTCTGCATAGCAGAGCCATACAAAGCAATGTGCTGACATAGTACAACACACACATAAACAATGGTAAAACAGCACACAGCACACAGTTAACCCTTTGATTGCCCCTGATGTTATCCCCTTCCTGCCGAGTGCCATTAGCACTGATTATTGTATTATGCAGGCCTTGGATGGGGAGAAAACCGGCCGATTTTTCTTTAAAAAAACGAAAAATCGTCGTTCAAGCGGCCGACGTTACCAGGAATGGTAAAAAAATTCAGCCAATTTTCATCCCGTCTACAGCCGGCAAAAAGTGTCCCTGCAGAGAGCTCCGCTATTCCTTTGACAGTGCTTTGACATTTATAGCGGTTGCAACAATGTATCTATTTGTATCCATTTCGGATACAGATGTTTTTATTCGGAAACAAATAGATACATTGTTGCAACCGCTATAAATGTCAAAGCACTGTCAAAGGAATAGCGGAGCTCTCTGCAGGGACACTTTTTGCCAGACTGGAATTCTCCTTCTTCTTCATCCTCTTCTTCTTCATCTTCTTCTTCATTCTCTTCTTCTTCTTCATCCTCTTCTTCATCATCCTCTTCTTCTTCTTCATCCTCTTCTTCTTCATCTTCTTCTTCATTCTCTTCTTCTTCTTCTTCTTCTTCCTCTTCTTCATCATCCTCTTCTTCTTCATCATCCTCCTCTTCATCATCCTCTTCTTCTTCATCCTCTTCTTCTTCATCCTCTTCTTCTTCATCCTCTTCTTCTTCATCCTCTTCTTCTTCTTCCTCCTCTTCTTCTTCTTCTTCTTCCTCCTCTTCTTCTTCTTCTTCCTCCTCTTCTTCTTCTTCTCTTCCTCTTCTTCTTCTTCCTCTCTTCATCTTCCTCTTCCTCTTCATCCTCTTCTTCTTCTTCATCCTCTTCTTCTTCATCCTCTTCTTCCTCTTCTTCATCCTCTTCTTCCTCTTCTTCATCCTCTTCTTCCTCTTCTTCATCCTTTTCTTCCTCTTCTTCATTCTCTTCTTCATCCTCTTCTTTTTTTTCTTCTTTTTCTTCTTGTCTTCCTCTTGCAGGTTACTGCTCATGCACAGATTTTTTATTGGTAAAAAGATCGGCCAATTTGCCCATAATTGCCACGAAAATCGTCCGATCGGCAAAATCGGCCGATCTTTTTCCAACTTTACAGATAACAAAAATCTACCAAAATACCGAAAAAACGGCCGAACAATTAACCCACTAAATCGGCCAATTTTCGACCCATCTATGGCCTACATTAGTGTCACTGACGATGTCACTGACAGTCAGTCCCCCCCCCCCCCCCCCCGTGTCAGAATGTCTGCTGCAGGCCTGGTATAAGTCACTGATCACCGCCATTACTAGAATAATAATAAAAAAAGTAAAAAAAAATCCCAGTATGTATACCGCCATTTGCAGATGCTATAACTTTCACATAAACCAATTCATTTACACGTATTGGGATTTTTTTTTAGCAAAGACATCGCAGAATACATTTTGGCCTAAATTTATGATGAAATTTGATTTTTTTAAAAATTTTTTACTGGACATGTTTATTAGCAAAAACTCAACAATATTGTTCTTTTTCACAAAATTGTCAGCCTTTTTTTTGTTTATAGTGCAAAAAATTAAAAACGCACAGCTGATCAAATACAACTGAAAAAAGCTCAATTTGTGGGAAAAAAGGATGTAAATTTCATTTGGATGCAGCATTGCATGACCCCACAATTGTTAAAGTAACACAGCGCCGTAACGCAAACCGCTTCTGTAACAGCTTCCTCACCGCCCTATAGCAGAAATACTGCTACAGGGCGGCACAAGTGCGCAAAATCACATATATATACGTGATTTGCGCTCCCATGGTTTTCACGCCCCTCCCAGATAGCCCATCAGTACAACAGTCATCAGGAGGGCAAGTGGTTAATGTGAATTCAGTTTTGAAGGGATGTAGTGACACCCCTACTAGGAGCCTATATCTAGAAAGACAGCCGTGCTCTGTTCATTGGTGTACAATGCAGGGGACATCATGAGGTGTTTATTAAACATTTCCAGGTGAGTTCAGATGGATCCCACAAACAGACATCCATATACAGGAGGGCTGGGTACAGGGGCGGACTGACCATTTGGGAACTCTGGCACTGCCCAAGGGCCCGGGGTCAGCAGGGGGCCCCATGAGATGCCCCTGGTACCTTTCATAGACTTTTTTGGGTGTGGTTTGAGTGTGGGCAAGGACACAGGGGCCCCATGATCCCCTATTGCCCGGGGGCCCCATGAGTTGTCAGTCCGCCCCTGGTTGGGTACACACTGAAACAAGCAGGAATGGACGGTGCTGACTGGAGCCGGGGCTGAGGCGCACTGGGCTTTGATCTTTCCGTAAAAACAAATACGGAATGTGATTGGCTGTGACGGGCTGTGGGTTTCACTGGAGTAGTTTGTGTTGCACCTGTGTGAGGCAGCCTGGCTGTAGTAGCAGTGTGTAATGTGAGCCCCTCCCTGCGTGTGTGAGTGCCCCTCCTCCTCCCAACCAGGAAGTGTGCAGTGTATTGTGCGTGCTCAGCTGTCCTCGTAGACACACAGCGCACGGACCAAGGCTGCTCCTCTCTGGACACCTCATGTACCTAGTCCCAGGTATTTACTGATAGAGACCATATACATGTGCAGGCTGTCATAGGATGGGTGGTCAGTGGCAGCCTGTACTGGACCCCATCACATACACAGTAGGATGTTTACTTTCTGAGCTCATTGTCCTGTACGATCTAATCCATAATGTGGATATCAGAAGGCCCTGTCCTCTGGAAGAATACATATACCCGCTGTAGGTTGTTACCTCAAACTTTGCATCCTTTCTATACATTGTATTAGATGTCCCCCTTTATGGTGTGTATAGTTGGGGGGGGGGGGCTGTGTGGTGCCTGTTCACACTTTTGTGTATTGGGGCAATGTGTGTGTTCCTGTAATGTAACAGTTCTATGTGTGGCACATTTTATTTCAGGTACTTATATAGCACTGTCAACTTACGCAGCACTTTACATATATATTGTGTACACTCGCATCAGTCCCTAACCCTCAAGGGGTGTACAATCTAAGGTCCCTAACTTACATTCATACATACACATACTAGGGCCAATTTAGACAGGAGCCAATTAACCTCCCAGCATGTCTTTGGAATGTGAGAGGAAACCAAAGTACCTGCAGGAAACCCGCACAGGGAGAACATGCAAACTCCAGGCAGGAGGTGCCATGGCTGAAATTAGAACCAACAACCCTAGTACTGCCAGGCGGAAGTGTTAACCATTTAGCCACTGTGCTGCACATTGCGGTGTAACCGTTGTGAATGGGGCATCCTAACCCCTTCCTGCCTCTGTCTCCTGGGCCCTTAGGAGGTTCTAAATGCTGAGAGGTGGTCACATGATCAGAAAGCTCACACCAGTGGTCACATGATTTGAAAGCTCCCAATCACATGTATACAGCAGGAGTAGTTGTGCACTGAAAAGAAAATTCTGGAATGCAACTTATGGAAGGAAATATTGCTGGATATTTTCTCTTATTTGGACCATTCTCTGTAAACCCTAAAGGTGGTTGTGCATGAAAGTTCCAGTAGGTCAGCAGGTTTTGAAACACTCAGACCAGCCCATCTAGCACCAACAACCTTGCCACGTTCAAAGTCTCTAAACCCAGGACCCTGCATTCACTATATCTGGTCTCCCCCAGTACACACAACATGGAAATGCAATTATTTTCATAAATATAAAACTGCTACATACCATTTCTCATCAGCAGTTAGAGCAATCTTGTGACTTCTATCAGTGTCCAGCAGAGCACTGGTTAAAGCTTAGGAGTAGGCGGTTTCATTGCTCTAGGAGGATGCAGAACCCCTGACCTTTGTCTTGACAGTGCTGATTGGCTCTGTGCAGATCACATGTAGTCTCCCAAGAAAAAACAAACTTGCAATTCACACCAAACTGAGCATGTGCAGAGTGACTCCACACGATATGTCTTATCAGGAGATAAGGGGGGGGGGGATACTGGAAGGAGAGGATCAGAGAAGTCAGGATCAAATGGTGTGTTTACACAATGCAGAGGATTAACCCCTTATTTTTCACAGTGAGTATAACAAGCATGTTTGTTTTTTTAACAGTTGCATTTATTAAAATCGTACAAAAGTATAAAAAATCAAGGTACATAAGAACAAGCAAGCTTATGGCAGTCAATAGATAAACAATATACATGTGATTCCAATGCTAAAGATCATACAGAGTCAACTGGTCATCCTGAGTCAGATTGGGAGAAACATACATATTACACTGTAGATAGCCATCACCCACCAAATAAGATGTAGGGGAAAGATCTAAGAGCTGGAGCGAAAAAGAAGTTGATAAAATAAAAATGGGGCGGAAGATAACAAGCATGCTTTACTGTATGTACAGACTATTTTCACTGTTGTGGGATGCACTTGGCCAAAAACCAAAACTGAAATGGACAGGCTTTAAAAAACATTTTATATAATTGTATTATATTTTACTTATATTCAAATGAATATGAATTTAAAAAATACAATCAAGTAACGTAAAACTAACTTTTATTGAAAGTAACACACAAAAATTGGACAGAAAATAAAATGGGAAATATATATTTATTTAAAAAACGTTTTGCATTAAAATCAATTGGATGCGATTTTTGCATTGAATTCAATAATCATTAGCAGCACTCCCCCCCCCCCCCCCCCCCCCCTCTCTCAAAATGCCAATAACTTTTATTTTCGGCTGATTATATATTGGTGCATCGCTAATCGGGAGCTTTCCGGTACTCTCCAGTGACTATTCTGGGATGTCGGCACGGACAAGGTGTTTACATAGGGTCCTGTGTGTGTTTGTGTATATGTGTATATATGTTTTGTGTGTGTGTGTGTGTGTATGTATGTATATATATATATATATATATATACATACACACACACACACACACGTATGTATGGCCTCTTGGTGTTAAAGCCCACCCACCGAGAGGCTGTACCTCTGGCAGGAATTGGTTAAAGTAGAACTATAGGCAAAACCTCTTTTAATTTAAAAGAAAAAAAAATCATCTTGGATAGAGCAAAGGAGGGTTATAACCCCTGTCAGATTTTCTTTGTCATCTATGTTCCATTGCGGAGATTTTCCTTCACTTCCAAACAGGAAGTGAGAGGAAACCCCTTCAAATTAAGAGAATCCCTTGCTGCCCCCCCCCCCCCAGGTCAGTAGAACATTTGTCCCCTCTATTACTTTTCTGGAGACAACCCAAGATTTGGGATTTTCTTTTACTTTCACTTTCAATGATAATGGTAATCAGGACAAATAGAGAGAGGGGATCTCCCTAACGAAGGCACAGACTGCATTAAAAACTGACAGGGGTTCTCATCCCTCTCCACTCTATTCAGAAGTTAAAAAAAAAAAGTTTTGCCTTTAGTTATACTAGAATATTCAGGATATCTGCTGACTTTTAATAAAAGGACACCTGTCCAAGGATCCAAGGCCATCTTCACTCAAGCTGGTTCTTCCCCAGTCTTCAGGTCTCCAGTGCCAGCATGTTTAGTGTGGGCATCTGGCTATGACTTCACAGTCGGGTTCCCACTGCACATGCACAAGTTGGGCTGCACTTTGTGAATGATCGTACAGCCTCATAGGACCTTTGTGTCCCAAGAGATTGTGGGCTGGGGGGGGAGGGACAACTTCAATTGGAATAACCTAGGCAATCAGACCAGTAGTGGGAGCGGGTATATACCTAAATTAGGTCCCAGCTGCCCACCCCCCAAAAAATGCCCAAAAGTGTTGGGGGGGGGGGGGGGGGGACATAAAGCAGAACTTCCCCTTTAAGCTACTGCACAGTACACATCTCCTGCATTATTAAAAAGAGTCTTGGGTGGTTTTTGGATCTGTTGTGTGTTGTCAGCCCATTAATAAAGAATGGGCTCACATATCACATTGCATGTTTAATTTGCAAATTAAAGGCTACTTAACACACCTGTTATTCTGTCCTTTTACTACAGACCTTGCATGCCAAACAGAAGATCCACTTTTTTCAAGCCTCTTGTCTTCTTAAAAAAGCAATTTGTAAAAAAAAACTGACTTCAGACATAGTGTGTGATTTCAGTGTTCCTCACCACATTATCTTGAGATAGCTGGGCACTCAAAATTCTGTGAGAATGCACTCTTGCAATGAGCTGGAATGCAGTGCTGTGGGATTTTGTGCTCTCAGCTCATCAGGAAAACATTGTGAGGTCACTCATGCCTCCCACAATTAATGTTGGTTTACAGATGGCTTTTTACCCTCTTCCCAGACCACATAATGCATATATACTGCAACAGGTAGGATGGGCCTTAGCACTCGGCTGTCGCACATATGCGTCCACAGCAGTTGAAGGTTGTGTTGTAAGAACGTGCTCCCAGTACACTGACTGAGCAGTCGCTGACAGCTTTCGGTCAAGGCTTCTGAACAGGAGGCAGTAAGATGAGCTATTAATTATGTGATCACTGTGAGAGTCAATCATAATGTGCATGTGCTTTGGAAGCCACACCACCTCCTTCTATTAAAGCACATTGAAAGTGTTGCTGGGAGCTGATGTAAAGGCGTTAAGCCCATTTGCGTTAGGGGTGGGGGAAGGGGGGACTTGCAAAAAAGTGAAACTTATATTTGGCATGGAAGGTCCACTTTACAGTTGGCCCTCCTTTTTACTCTAGAGGGTTGGGAGTTGTGCCATTTCTTACAAGCCTTTTATGTAAATGGTTAGCACTTCTGCTTGGCAGTACTAGGGTCGTTTGTTCGAATCCCAGCCACGGCACCTCCTGCCTGGAGTTTGCATGTTTTTACTGTGCCTGCGTGGGTTTCCTCCGGGTACTCCGGTTTCCTCCCACACTCCAAAGACATGCTGGGAGGTTAATCGGATCCTGTCTAAATCAGCCCTTGTATATGAATGTGAGTTAGGGACCTTAGATTGTACGCCCTTGAGGGTTAGGGACTGATGTGAATGTACAATATATATATGTAAAGTGCTGCGTAAATTGACGGCGCTATACAAGTACCTGAAATAAATAAATAAAATGCCTCTATGGTACTATAAATGCGTAGTCAGACATTACAGGAACACACGTTTGTACATAGCTTTCTCTGTTTTAACATTTGGAATGTTTCTACTGCACAGCAGGTATCACTGGCCTAGTTCTTTTCGCTATAAGGTAATATGGATTAAAAATGGTTACCAGTGTTTAGCAAGAATCTTACAACTGATGAAACCTAATTGGTTGCTGTTTGACGGACATACATTGTTCATCATGTTGTTAAAGTGGATCTGAAGTCAAATATTCATACCAGCTGCAACAATCTTTACTGTCAGTAGGCGTCATATGGGTCCCATTGGATGCTGCTTTCACTTGTGTGAGACAATGATAAACTGCATCAAGTTAAAGTGAAACTTTAGACACGGTTCACACCTCTGCGTGTTGCAATTGATGCATTTTCTAGTGCGTTTTGCATTTTTGAACCTGCGTTTTTTTTTTTTTTTTTTTGGGGGGGTTTTTGGCCATAGGAAAGTATTGATTTTGGATGGGTGCGACTTTTGTGCAACCTTGAATGGGTGCTACTTTGATGGGACTTGGATGCAACTTTGGATGGGTGTGACTTGGATGTGGCTTTGCTTCTACTTTGATGCTACTTGAGTGGCAGAGAGTGTAAAAGTCGGATCAAAGTCAATACTTTCCTATTGCCAAAAAAAACTAACAAAATGCATCAAATATAGACTACATGCGGTTTTTGGCATGTGTCCATTGAAGTCTGTTGAACCAAAAACACACCATGTTACATCTAAAAATAAGTCCGTGACCTTTCCAAAAATGCAGTGGCTAAAAAACGGATAGATGTGAATATGTCCCATAGGAAGCCATGTTAAATGGACTGTAGCGTGTTTGCAAAATGCACTAAAAAACACATTGGTGTGAACCAGGCCTTATGTTAATAAAAATGGGCAAACAGGCATGATTTTTAATGCAGCAGAGACATGTTTTGTCTCTTCTGCATTAAAATTACCTACCTGTCTGTTCGTCCTTGTACAGTGGGCTGTGCACCCGCAGCTTACCATAGTATTTCAGCAGTGCTGCAGCCAACAGGACTCTTGCACATGCGCGGAGGTGACTTCATCCCCATCCATCCAATGAAAGCAGCTGCATTTGCTGGAGCGTTACATTCTTTCCTGGCCTCCATGGCCAGGAATCTCTCAACGGGGACCAGGAAGTGACATCACAGCGTCACTTCCGGGTCAGGACAAGGAGGGGAGCGGCCGTGCCTGCTGTCCTCCGTCCCCTCTAGCTGACGACAGTCAGCTGATCCCAGGCCCGCAGATGGGCAAGCGGGGGGAGGTTCATGGAAGGGGGAGGCTTGCACTGTGGGGAAGCAGTCTGGGGCAGCGTCGCTGCGTGAATGCTTCCACCTCACAGATGAGCCCTGCTGCTTTTCTGCAACAGGGCTAAAAGTAAAAAAAAAAAAAAAAAACTACCTACCTGACGCCTGGAACTACATGTCCCAGATGTCAGGCGATACAAATTCAACATCCCTGCATGTACCTGTATGAAAAAGTATCCTATTCTTTGTATTGCTTCCTTTGTGTGAAATCCCTGCTGTTCCTGTCAGTCCCTCTGCTTTCCTGTTAAAAACTGACCACACTAGGCCGAAGAACACAGCTTGATCAGTTCTCTAGCTCTGCTGGGAACTCAGCCTGCTCTGCTCCAATGATCAGAGTCATGCTTACATGCCCCACTCCCCCCTTTCACAGCCATTCACTGGGAATACCAGTGTGCTGCTGTTTCTCTTCCCCTAGCTCTCATGCAGCTCAGAACAGAGAGAATGAGTGATCACTTATAAAAAAGGAAAAAAGGGTATTTAAAATGTTTTTTTTTTCCTCTATATAGGAATGTTTTGCTGTTATTTCTATTTTAAACTGTATGGGTTGTTTTACAAGGTGAGGGTTTACATACACTTTAAGAATTTTGCAGGATGTACAAATTGGTTTATGTAAGGGCCATGTTCTGCAACACTTTTTGTGTTTATTTTGTACAAGGAGAAAAGTACAAAGAGCAGTACTCATAGCAAGCAGCCTCCCTGGTCTGGCTGAAGTGAACAGTTATATAGTCTGTGTATACGTCATTCAGCCAGCAATCGGCCTAGCCAAAGCTAGCTTAGAGTGCCTCTGAGAACACATGTCAAAGGGCTGCTTACATCTCAAGAACTATATAAAATTTGATGTGTTACACAGGGATATCAGTCAAAAATGTAGCTAATATTAGTACTTTGTCTTCCACAATTGTAATATTTAACCACTTGTTGACTGCGCTATTGCACAGTCGACCAGTTCTGAGTGGACATCAAACAACGTCCTTCTAGAACTGCGCCCTTTGTGGTGCACATCCAGCGCTCTCTGTGATCGCTGTGTCCTTTGGACACAGCTGATCACATGTCACAGTAAAGGGCCAATCACAGTTGCCGTTTACCACGTGATCAGCTGTGTCCAAACACAGCTGATCACGATGTAAACACACTTGCCGGCTATGACCAACAAGTGTGAAAGGAGACCTCTACACTGATAATCAGGGCACTGGTCGTTATTAGTACCCATCATTGCCGCCTCATCAGTGCCTCCTCATAAATGTCCATCAGCAGGGCTTGACAAATTTTGCTTTGAACCTAGGAGCCAGCTAAAAAAGTTAGGAGCTGGGTGGGGGGGCAGTGTTACAGGAGGGGAAGCAGGGAGACAGGTAGGGGGCAGCATCACAGAAGAGAGGGCAGTGGGCAGTGCACAAGTGGGGGGCAGTGCCCCGGTGAGGAGCAGTGTCTCAGCAGGACAGGTGGGGGACAGCATCACAGCTCCATGGGCTCTCTGACAGGTGTGGGGGGCAGGCCTGTAGTGCCTTCTAGGGGGAGCACGGTTTTTGTGGGGCTGTCCAGGAACTCCGTGCTTCACCTGGACTTTGGACGTAGACTCTAAGGGTCCCAAAACCCTGGGCTGGGCTCCACTCTGAGGGGCATGGGAGAGGAGCTGGCAAAGGATGTTTGGTGGGCGAGATGGGGCAATATGGGCTAGCAAGGGCCCCTAGTGCCAGGAAGCGGTTTCTGGTCGCCTAGGAGTTGTCGAGCCTTGCCCATCAGTGCATCCTCTCATCAGCGAAGGAGAAATGTACCTGTTTGCAAAATTTTATAATAGAAACTCAGAAAAAACGTTTTTTGTTTTTTTTTTAATCTTAGGTCTTTTTTCGTTTGCTTAGCAAAAATAAAAACCCTAGTGGTGATTACCAGCAAAAGAAAGCTCTATTTGTTTGAAAAATTTGTTAAAAATTTCATATTGGTAAAGTGTTGCATGACCGCGCAATTGTCATTCAAAGTGCAACAGAGCTGAAAGCTAATAATTGGCATGGACAGGAAGGGGGTAAAAGTGCAGGTGTTTTTTTTTTTTATTCCACATTTTTCAAAATTCCAAACTAAATTCCACCTCCCCTAGCTACCAATATACCATTAATGCAATTCTGTTGCAGAAAAGACACTTGAAGTAGTTCACCAGCTGACCTCATTAGCACACACCCTGTACCTATTCTCCTCCTCCAGGAAACTGTTCCCACCCACCCCTGTACTCACATGCAGGTTGAAGTATTAAAAACAGAAGAAGTCTGTAAAGCTCGCCATATACACTATACAATCTGATTGTAGAATCTCCTTTAGCTTCACCATCAGCTATGGAGTGCAATTGCCTGCCTGACTGGATATAGAGTGATTGGATACATAAGTGTGTCCTTCTATTATGGGCAGCTTTGTACAAGTACATAGAAGGGAGTGGATGGAGACACTTTAGCTGTCAAACCCCATTCATGTTGTGGAAATTACGCTCCCATATGCGTTTTTTGAGGGGGCATTTTGGAGCGTTTCTGCTCATTGCACATTTGAAACACAGCAAAGTGCACATTTTCTGTTCAGAAGCATGCAGATGAATGGAGCCTCCTTGTTTATGTGTAAACACACCAATTTCACTTTCAGGTCCCATTCACACCTAGCATAGTTCATTTTTTTTGGTTTGTTTTTTCTGTGACACAGCACATACCTATTGAAATATATACATGGCAAAGTAGCTCATGGGACATTTTGGCGTGTGTGCGGTTTTTACATTTTTCACTGTGTTTTGCTGCATTTTGATTGCTTTTTAACACCTTTAAAGGAGATTGTATAGTGTATAGGGAGTGTTACAGACTTCTGTTTTCACAACTACAGCCTGCATGTGCGTACAGAGGTGGGAGCAATTTCCTGGAGGAGAACAGGTGCAGGGTGTGTGCTAATGAGGTCAGCTGGTGAACTACATCCTGTGTTTTAAACAGTTTTCATGTCTCAAATCTACATACCAGGGAGCCATGAACCTTTCTATGGAGCAAGCTGCAGCTGGATAGGTAAGGCTTTCTTCTCTGCAACGGGTAAGGCTTTTTGTCTTTTCTGCAACAGAAGTACAATAATAATATATCGGTACATAGGGGAACTAGAATTCTGGGCAGAAAAAAAAGGTGAACTCAGCCTTTAACACTATGTGCTGCAGGACACTACATGTAATTCACACAGGAATCACACCGCATTCCTTTGCAAATTACATGCAAATGTATGTGCGGTGTGATTTGAGCTATAAATTTTTGTATGGCTCAAATAGCATCTGCAACAAAAATGTGCAGGACCCTTTTTTAACCCACATCCTTACCACGCTGTATCTAAATGACGGCTACAGTGCGGTTGTCCAGTTCTGGGAGGGCATCATATGACGTCCTCCCAGAACGTGCACCCTGTGATCTCCATGATCGCTGTGTCTTACAGACACAGCTGATCACATGATGAGGTAAAAGGGCAATCACAGCGGCCTTTTACCACATGATCAGCTGTGTACAATGACAGCAGATCACCGAGTAAATACAGTTGCCGGTTATCGGCAGCACTTTCCTCACACTGTCACAGCGTAAGGAAAGTACAGCTGATAACCGGCAGCAGTCACAGAGCAGATTGGCACTGATTATCAGTGCCCTGCAGTGTCTTCAGTAGTTCACCCACCAGTGCCCCCCATTATGGTCCCGCAGTTCCGCCCGTCAGTGTTGACGCCTATCAGTGCCCATCAGTGCAGCGTCATCAGTGCCTCCCCAATGCCCACCAGTGCTGCCTCATCAGTGCCACCTATCCATGCCCATCAGTGCTGCCTATCAGTGCCGCTTATTGGTGCAGCCTCATCAATGCATATCAGTGAAGGAGGAAAAAAAAAAAACCTGTTTACAAAATGTTATAATGGAGACAGAAAAACTTTTTTTTTTTTTTTGCACTTTTTGTTTATAGCGCAAAAAAAAACACCCAGTGGTGATTACCACCAAAAGAAAGCTCTATTTGTGTGAAAAAAAGAAACATTTCATATGGGTACAGTGTTGCACGACCGCACAATTGTCATTCAAAGTGTGACACCACTGAAAGCTGAAAATTGGCCTTGGCACGAAGGGGGTAAAAGTGCCCAGTAGGCAAGTGGTTAAATCTGCACCTGAATCACATTGTATAGGTGTTCTCACACATACGATGCAATTTCCGGTAATCACATCACATTTTGCGATCTGTTTCAGGGGTGTCATTCATTTATCATTGATACTCGCGATGCGATTGCAATGTGAACCACAGGTTTTCCCAGCGTTTCCTGCACCGCATTGGTGTGAAAAAAGAAGTCAATAGTGATAGTAACATGGAGATGGTCATAGCTTTCTTCTGTTTTGAAGTTGCTGGCTGTTTCTGGCCTCAAAACACAGATACAATAGAGAGAAGTAATGACTCCTGATCTTACCATGTGTACTGGTCTGAATGCTTACTGTAAGGGATTACATGAGATAGTTTTGGACAAACTTAGATGCTAGGTAAAATACTAAAATTAACAGTGCAGCAAAGTGCCACCCACCCCAAGCAAGGGTAAAATACTTGTTTAGTCTAGGGAATTGTAAAAACCACAAATCCTTATCATATCCCTTGCTCATCTGGCAACTATTGTTCTTTTCTGCTGCCTGGCATCCCAATATGTGGAAGGCCCTCTTCACATACAATGCATCTTGGCCAGATCACCAGATGATCACGTGTGACTCATGGTAGTCACATGGGCTCCTCAGATGTGATAGGAAGGATATGCTCCGCATCGAAATTCACTGAAAACTGAACATTTGCAAAGCTGTCAAAACTGCTCTGCAAAATCCCCAACTGCCCTGGGGTCTTGGACAGAAAGTGGAGATTGAGAACAGCAGGATCAATCAGGTTTTTTGCAGAATACAGAAAACAAATTACATAGTGACTTAGTAAGTATGAACAGCGAGTAATACAGGATTTTCTTGATTTTTTTTTTTATTATGTTGGTTTAGTGACACTTTAACCCATGTGGTGCAAGCACAGCCCCCCTGCATGGGGAAATAAAATTAAAGATTCCCTGAGTTTAAAACAACTTCTTTAAACAACTGGGGATGAGGGGGAGGGGCTTAATTTTTGGGGGTATTTCCTGTTGAAGGTAGAGCCAGTCATCTCTCTCAAGTGGCTGTCCTGGAAGATGATTTGGGAAATTAAATATGCAATATTCCCCCTTTCTGATTTTAGCACATCTGGTATGTGTATACTGGCTAGCATTAGAAAATCAGTAGCTGAGTGAATTTGTTGCATGTAATTGCTCTTTAACCACTTGCCCTCCAGAGGATTTACCCCCCCCCCCCCCCCCTTCCTGAACAGGCCATTATTTGCGATATGGCGCTGCATTACTTTAACTGACAATTGCGAGGTCATGCAACGCTCTACATAAATTAAATTTGTGTCCTTTTTTTTTCCCCCCACAAATAGAGCTTTCTTTCGGTAGTATTTGATCACCTACCTGTGTATCTTTAATTTTTTGCACTATAAAAAAAAAAAAAAACAGTTTTACAATAAACAGAATATTTTTGACTTTTTGCTATAAAACATGTCCAGTAAAAAAAAATGTAATCGAATTTCATCAAATTTAGGCCAAAATGTATTTTGATGTCTAATGTGCTAAATAAAATCTCAATACATGTAAGTGAATTTGTTTTCGTGAAAGTTAGTGTCTACAAATGGTGGTATATATATTGGAATTTTTTGTTTTTAACACTAGTAATGGTGACAATCAGCAACTTATAGCAGGACTTCGGCGGGTGTTCTTACATGGAGGTAAATGGCTAACTGCCACTGACATCCCAATGACACTAATAAAGTGATCAGTGCTAATAAGCACTGACACTGTACTAATGACACTGGGCAGGAAGGGGTTAACATCTGGGGCGATCAAAGGGTTAACTGTGTGCTGTGATTGACATCTGTACCCACCAATGGCAGTGCATGCCCCCTACCCGGAAATGCAAAATCATACATATGACTTCCCCTCTCGTCTTTCAGGACAGCACCTTGAAAGACCTCAGCTCCTCCCCACCTGAGGAAACACCTCCACCCTAAACAAAAACACTGTCACTCCCCTCCGACCTCCGTTTTGGTGTTTCCTCTGATGGGGAGACATCTTGAGGAAGCCTCTCAAGTGCTGTCAGGGGACAGCGGAGTCTGAGGTCTAGGAGCTGTGGAGCAGCATGGAGTGAAGGCTGGAGAGCCGGCTGCTATCCTCCAGGGAAGGCTGCGGTGGCAGGGCTGTGATCTCTGGGGGACAGAGGAGCGGCAGTAACCCATCCCCGGCCCCCCCTCCGGAGAGTTGCGCGTGTCGGGGCATCCTCGGTGGGATCTGGTGAAAATCGGTGAGGAGTCCCGCTCCTCCCATGCATGCCGGCTTAGGAGCACGCCGAGCCGGATGGCAGGTGACGTCCTATCCGGTGGAGGGGGCGGCTCTTCTTCTTCCAGGGTCACGGCTTTCGCATCCGGCTGCTGCCCTAAACACCGGGGTCGGCGGCATGTGGCGGTGCGGTGCGATACCAGAGCCTGTAAGGTCAGGCAGACCACAGAAGAGAGGCGACCACCCTCCTGTCAGATGTCCGGAGCAGAGGCACCGGGACCAGGCGAGGCCTGCACCAGCCAGACTCAGGTAAGGTGACTCTGTGGAGTCCTCCCCTACCTGTGGGCCCCTAGCTCCAGGGGTATTCCCGGCCCTCTTGTGGTCAGAGGGTCTAGGACGGGGGGAGGGGTCTGATGGAGAGTCTAGCCATTCCCCAGGCAACGCCCCACCCCCCCAGCGGACGACTCTGTCAACTAGCCGAGGCAGGGAGGACCAGGAGGCTGGAAAAGGTGAGCCATCCCTAGATTCCCAGTCCGAGGAGGACTCTGCAGGGGAGGGCCCCTCAAAGGATCCCAGAGGCCCCTCTAGGTACAAATTGTCCCTTGAGGAAGTGGAGGATTCTTGGGGGCAATCTATGATACGCTTGACATCAAGGAAGATAACCTCTATTTCTACATGATCAGATGTACCAGGGTATGGAGGAACAGAAGCGGAGAGTGTTCCCCGTACACAAGGTTTTGGTGGACGCAATAAGAAAGGAATGGCAGGATCCAGAGAGGAAGCCCTTTTTTTCCAAGTCCCTCCAGCGTAGATTTCCGTTCAGTGAGGACCCGTCCGCCTTGTGGAACAAAAATCCTAAGCTGGATGTGGCTTTTTCCCAGATTGCCAGGAAAATGGATTTAGCCTTTGAAGACATGGGGACCTGATGGATAGGAGAGCTGAATCCCTCCTTAAAAAATTGTGGAATTTGACCCTGTCTAATTTGGAGCCGGCCATGGCCACCACTGTAATAGCCAGGAATATGGAGTACTGGCTCACTCAGTTACAGGTGTATATAGTGGCTGATTTCCCCAAGGATAGGATCCTAGCGTCATTTGAAACATTATTGCAGGGGGTGGGGGTACATTGGGGATGCATCCGCAGAGTCTGTGAGGTTGGCAGCTAGGTCGGTGGCCCTGTCCAACTCAGCCCATAGGGCCTTGTGGCTTAAGACTTGGCAAGGGGATGTCACGTCTAAGGTAAAGTTATGTGGTATCCCCTTTTTAGGTGATCTCCTGTTCGAGCCGGGGTTAGAGACGGTGTTGGACTGCATGGCGGACAGGAAGTAGTCTTTTCCCCTGAATCGAAAAATATGCAGGATCTAGGGGGTAGGAAGTTTAGTCCCCCAAAGAGCCAGGGCCCTAGGTTGGAAGGGCAGAGGAGGACATGGGGGCAGAGAGGGAGGGGCAAGGGAGGAGCGATATTCCGTCCTGACCAGCCCCAGAAATCACAGTGACTCGATTCCCTCAGTGGGAGGAAGATTGGCAGCCTTCCTCACACGGTGGAAAGCGGAAGTCTCCAGCCCCTTTATACTGGACATCATAAGAAGGGGGTACCTCCTGGAGTTCTCGAGACCACCGCCACAAAGATTGATAACAAACCTGCCCAGTTGTCCTCAAAGGGCCTCAGCCTTACTAGCCTCTCTACGGGAATTGGAGGTACAGAAAGTTGTAGTAAGAGTCCCCAAGGCAGAGATAGGGGATGGGTTCTATTCCCATGTGTTTGTGGTCCAGAAACCTTCAGAGGCGTACAGATTGATCTGAAACCCCTGAACAAGTCCATTCATTACAAAAGGTTTCGGATGGACTCGATCTTCACAGTCAGAGCCCTCCTTCCACCAGGGGCCTTCCTGACCTCCATCGATCTGAAAGATGCCTATCTGAACGTGCCCATCGCAGAGGCATTTCAGAAATTCCTCAGGCTGGTGGTTCAGAGTCCAGCAGGGACGTATCACCTACAGTTCCGGGCCTCGCCTTTCTGTCTCTCCTCCTCGCCAGGGATCTTCACCAAGGTTTTGTCCGAGACGTTGGTCCCTCTTCGGCTGAAGGGAAATTCAGTGGTAGCCTATCTGGACGATCTGCTCTTATTTGCAGGCTCGGCAGATCAGCTCGCACTGGAAGTGGCAGTGGTGAGGAGCCATCTGGAGAGTTTGGGATGGCTGCTGAATTTTGGACAAGTCCTCTCTGGTCCCATCCCAAAGGATGACCTATCTAGGGTATGTTCTGGACTCCACCTGTCAGAAGACCTTGTTAACTCTGGAGAAGCTCGCCAAATTAGATGGGGGGGGGGGGGGGAGGCGATTACTGGGAAGCCGCGAAGTATCGTTGAAGCAGACCATGTCGGTGTTAGGACTGTTAACTTCGTCCATTCCGGCGGTACAGTGGGCGGGGTTG